GTGGCGCAGCAGCCGTGTGCGGTCTGTGGTCCTGTTGCGTTCCAGGGGGGCCCACCACACACACACACACACACATCCAAACAAGACAAAAGGACATCATCAGCCAGAACAATGGGCAAATTTGTCGTTAAGAGCAAGCTGAACGCAGAGAAAGTGCTGGGTGCCAGAGGCATGCTAAAGGATTTACTCACAGGTCAAGCAAGCACTCGCTCACAGATACAGATACATTCGCATTCACAGATACAGATACACTTTTGGATGCTACTAATGCGCCCAGCTTGGCATGCGTAAGCTTGACTTGAGCTTGACCCGCAAGTTCACTGGACACGCACTGGAGTCGAGCCAGAAATGATCAAGACACAAGACAGAGGAGACTGCGATTGTGGCTGTGGCCAGTCCTCTGAGATCTGTGGGCCTGGATGTTGAGCATCGTACCTTAATCGCTGCATTTTAATCGACACGCAAAGTTCGTTTAAGTTAAATAAACGTTTAAACGAGAACACAACAAAATCAAGCGAACAACAACAACAACAACAACAAACGAATGGCATGCGCTGCACGCAGCTTAAGGAAGGGCTCTGGAACTGCAAAAAAACTTGGGAACCGCGAACTGTGACTGGCAGCTGCTGTGGCCGAGCGCAGTGAGGTGAAATTGAGGTACCTGCACTCTGTGCCACAGCAGATTTGTTGGAGTGCGTGTGCATGGCTCTGGGTGTGTACGAAATGTTTAAATTAAGCTGGATATCAAGTGCACCAGATCACTAATTACCAGCGCCAGCCAAAGTTACAAAGCTGAACGAAAAAATGCCTCCGCCAGCGCCTGCTCCCCCTCCTTCAACTGCTCCTTGACAAGCCGAGAGCATCGTGTGAGCCAAGCGCCGCTCGCACCATGAAACTTCAAAATGTGCACCTCAAGTTTGTTTGTGGGCATCCAAAATCAATAAAGATCGTTCCCAGATTGTGGTCCAGTGTTTGCTTAACTTTCGGCGGCCCTTAAATGGGTTAATGTCGATCTCTTGGCGCTGCCGTGAAACAATGGAGCTGACCGTTACTCGATAGCTTTTGATGGCATTCAAATGCAGTAACTCAAATTGATGTGTGTATTTTGGATGCCTAAATGCTGTAGATCGCTTGACCTCTCGTTTAGACTTGCTCGGCAGCTTTAGGAATTACGTGGAATCGACAAGATTTACACTTAATGATAGCTATCTTATATAGCACTTCGATTCTTAGCAAAAAGTAACAAATTTCCATCGGAAATGAAAATCAATTTATAAGGCAAATCAATCAACGTGTTTTACAATTATAAAGGAATTCCTCAAAAGAAGTCATAAATATTTAAATAAAATATTTAAGCTGCAATATACAGAAATCTACCAAAAATATGATTTATTTCGAAATAATTTTTGTATAAATTCCCATTTAAAAGCCATGCTATGTGTATATATATTATAGGCTATTTGTGTTATTTCCATTATATAGCAATTACTTCCTGCATTGTCTAGCTGACACTTGCTTGGCATCAACTTGGAGTTTATCTTAATAATACGATCTCTGGCTCTTCAGCAGACACACACACACACTCGTGCACATAAAAGCGATTCTCTGGCAGCTGTCTACAAAAAGATATGACATACCATCATATACTTAGTTTGTTTTGACTATTTGTCAGACAGCGTAACACGCCCCAAACATGGCATATAGAAACTGTAGAAACTATGGCTAGCTATGGGCTGCTATAGGAAGCTTTGGACAGTAATTAAGGCCGCTACCGGACACAGAAACCAACCGAGTTGAAAAATTGCTCAGTGTGTGTGTGTGTGAGTGTGTGCTGGCCATGTTTTGCATAATTTCTCATTAAAACATGTTTCCATTATCATGTGTCAATAATTTTTCGTTCGCTGTCAGTTTCAAATGCAAATTCTTAACAGCTGATTGGATGATGCATTATTAGAACTGCGCGCCAAGCAATTAAATATATAATTTAATAAGCATGTTCCCAACTATAAGGGGTACTTTAAAGTCAAGGCAGTGGCTACGACTAGATAAAACACCAGCTGTTGTGCACTATTTTTAAAGATGTGCTCATAACTTACTCTGCACCCATGTCTGAAAAGTGCACACAAGCACATATATATATATATATATATATATATATATACATAGATACATAAATATCTGAGTCGTAACTCTATTAATAATGCATCTTTCATGTCGCATACATAATAAACCATTTTGAAGCGTTTAAATGCCTCTCAACGCTTAGCTAAGGTTGGCGTTCAGGCCCAGCATTGGAGTCTGGCGCCAATGGGCTAACGTAATTTGATCGGACCCGCTTGTTTTCTACCTTGTCTATCTATCTTCCCGTATCGGTCAATGCATTTTGGCGCCTGCATTTTGACAGTCAATAAAAATTTGAAATGTTATACTTTTCATTTTGTTTTCTATGTCGCATCGATTTTATTTTGTTTGGTTGGCTTTTGTTCTCTAAATGGCTTTTTGATTGGAGAGATTGGAGCAGCGATACAAATGAACCACTTTTTCAGTTTGACAGCTGAAAATAAAAATTAAAAAACAAAAGACTTAGGCAACGAACTTGTCTAGCTATATACATTTCGTACTAGTGCAGCTGATAGTTGATGTATCGTTTTATTCCACTAAAATATGTTTATATAGCTAATGCTATTCTTTATGTAAAGCTAAAATTAAGCTTTAACCAGTTGAGAATTAAAAGGAAACTGATTGTTATCCATAATAATATTTTACCACACATTGTGTTTTAGTTGCGTCGGATAGGGTATGTAAGTTTCGCCCCACTGTAGCTAGTTCGTAATTTTGGTTGGCTTTGTGCTACTATTGACTGTTTAATAAACTATAAAAATAAATTTAGAAACAATGACGACAAAACACACATTGGAATGTGATCGGGCGGCAGTTAAGACGACAACAAATAAAACAAAACGCACAATGGCGTGCGCTGGCTTTAAGAGACCCAACCCGCCCCGGCTGGCCCCTGCACCCACCACTACCACCAACTCCATCACCACCACCACCAACAGCACCACCTTCTCAAGCAGCTCATCATGCATATTGATGACATTCGTTGCTCTCTCGGGTTCAGTTCATTGTTTATTGTCGTCCGTTAAGGCGTCAACTTTTCTGACATAGCCACATTTTACAATGTGCTCGTAAACGATATTTGCAGGCAGTTCGATCGTTCGATCGTCCGATCGTCCGATTGTCGCATTGTCCGATCCTGCATAGTTTTCGTACCATTCATCATTGGCGGCTCTGTGGTCTGGTCGGGTCTGGTCTGGTCTGGGGCAGCCCATAAACAAAGTTCGGGGGCGACTGCTCGACGACTGCCTAATTAAGTGATTAAAATTCTGACCGACGCCGAGGCGTATGACTTTTGTATGTGTTAATATAAAGTTTATTATTTGAAGCAGCACGTGGTTGACTCGCAGTCAGTCAGTCTATAGGCCTCTTTTTCGGGCTCAATGCAAACAATAAGTAGCCCATATAAGTACGACTACTGGATACATGCACTGAGCGAAATAAGCCGACCTTTTGGGTTGGTTATCACATAAAACAAGTACAATTTATCTAAAAACAAGATATTTTGTACTCATATTCAATATCTACTTTCTGTAGCTTCTCGCAAGAGTTTACATTCCAGCCATGTTGTTATTTTGAAGTAAATTGTTTTCTGAGTGTAACCGCCATAGACCCATAATGCTGGCCACAGCATATCAAGCAGCGGGGGCCTCACGACAAATATCTGTGCGTAACATTTGTGGCATTTTTAATTTACAGCAATCATTGCATTAGACGGCAGACCGGCACTTAAGCATTACTATATCGGTTTTATTATCACCCATCGTCCATCGCCCATTGACGATCGTCGATCGACTTGCAACAAATGTTTCAGTCGCTACGTTGATGAATTTATGCCAACCCATTTGGCGTTGACAACGCCAGCCCCCCTCTGGCCACGCCCCAATTGTCGCCCGTGTCTCAGATACAAACGCCACGATTGAGTACAAAGTAAACTCGCCGCGTGGCAATCAATTCTGGAATGGAACTGATCGTATCGTGTCGTAGAATATGTGCGCTCTAAAGCTTGAATAGAATTTTGACATCAAATGCTTTTTAGCCAAATCGAATCACAAATTTGATGCTCAGCTTGTTTTTGCATTTAAATAGACACCCTTAAACTATAAATTGAATGCTCACGTTTAAGCTTCATATATAAGAAATATATTTTTATAATATTAAAATATAAATTGTATTTATATCAAATCAATTCTTCAGGTATTTAGTAGCTCTTTTTCTGCTTTTTCCCAGATTTATAAATGTTTTCAAATTTTCTTTCTTAATGAGATAAAATATAATGAAATAGTCCATAATTGGAAAATGAGTAGGCTGTCTAGAAAAAGATCATTTTATTCAATCTCAAGATGATTCCAAATCTCTATCCGAGTTTATATTTCTATTTTGTAAATGAGAAGAATATATTCAAGGTGTTCGACTTGTTTCTACCTTGTTTAATATAATATTGAATTTATAGGGTTTGCTTTGAAGGTTCAGCTTCAAATGAAATACAAAACCGAATCGATTAAGGCCCAGCCATAAATAAAAGTTTTAATATATATCATTTTCATATTAATTTATTTTCTTGCATCAATTTAAAAGCCAATCTTAAGATCAAATACTAAAAGCTAAAATAGAATACTTATCAATTATAAAATCAAACTAGGACTAAACAAATTTTATGTACAATACAATGAGGGCTTTTTTGGTGGGTTGGGTTTTGCTTACATGTTTTGTTTTTTTTTTCTTTTTTTTTTTTTGATTGGATTGGGTTTAGAGTTTGTTGCTTCTATAAAATACAATTCGAATTTAGTTAAATTTAATATTTAAAAAACATATATACAATTGGCGACTATTAAACAAAAACTTTAAAACTTTTTTCATTTTCTTTTGTAAAAATAATTTTTGGATTTGAGCTCAATAGTGTGTGTGTGTGTTTGTGTGTGTATGTGTGTGTGCTTGCTGCAGCTATAGCCGTCTCTTTTCAACTCTCTAAGCGCAGGCGCAGCTCTCAAACCTGTCCATAAAAATTTCAATTTCGACGGCGCAAATCGAATTCAAACCGCACACGAAAAGATAAAAATACAAAAAAATATATATACCAACAACACTAAACGGAGAAAAAATAACAACAACAACAACGACGCAGACGACGACGACGACGAGGCAAATGAGTTGATTGCCTTTTGGCTCCACCCACAACCACACTAGACACACACAAAGATGCTGCGCATGGCGCTGGACGCATTGTGGGTCACAGCGAAACCGCCAAACGGCGGCGACTCACCGCCAATGGGGTTGAGCTTCTGCCGCTTGACGGCAACGGCTGCCTCTGTGGAGGATGTGGAGCTGTTGCTGCTGCTGGTGCTGGTGCTGCTGCTGCAGCTGTTGGTGGTGTTGGTGATGGTGGTGCATTCGGCCTCCAGCTGATAGTATTTGCGACGCGGCGCCAACTCGTGCTCATCCTGCAGACTGCACACGTCGCTGTCATTGAAACTGTGCACCGAACTGCGCGACGTTTTCATGCTCAGATCCATGGGTCCATCTTGGGCGGCAGCGGCTGCCGATGCCGCTGCATTCGCTGCTGCTGTTTCTCCGCCAATGGAGCACACGGAGACAGGTGAAAGTGATTGCATTTTGGCCGTAAAGCTCAGTGGGCTGCTGCTCTGCGATTTGCTGGGTGTGGGCGAGGCGGAGCTGGAGTGCGAGGCGGTCGTCAAACCAGGCAGCAGCTGCTGCGGCGGCGTGGCGCGTATGGCAACTGGCGTGTGTATGGTGTGTGGACTCTGACTGTGACTGTGACTATGCTGTGACTGCACATCATCGTCAGCGCCCAGGCAGACGTCAATGGGCGATGCCGCTGGCTGTGGCTGTGACTGCTGAGCCACTGTTGCCACAGTTGGCGGCGTGTAGCGGCTGTGCGACTCGGCCGAGGCGGCGGAGTCTACGCTCTGGCGATGCTTGTACATCTCCTGGCGATAGGCAGCATCCGCAGCGGCCGCCGCAGCAGCGCTGGCATGATAGCCCGGGAATAGCAAGTGAGGCGGCAGCTGGAATGCCGACTGTGGTGTGGCCATCATGCTGAAGAAGGGCAATGCGGCGGCAGCAGCGGCTGCATCAGCCGGATGTCGTGCACCAAAGTGTTCCGGCAAATGATAGCCAGTATAGCCAAGCAGCGGCGGCAGGTGTGGATGACGCTGCTGTTGCTGTTGATGCTGATGCTGTTGTTGCTGCTGCTGTTGATGTTGCTGCTGCTGTTGCTGCAGATGCGCGGCCAAGTCACCAAATCCGGGAGAACTCATGGGCGACCCGGTGGCATGACCCGGCGCCTTGCCAGCTGCCGCAGCGGCTGCCTGCTCGTGCTCCTGCAGCAGACAGTGTATCTTGAACCAGTTGGAGCGACGTCCATAGCGCGAGCCGCCCTTGGACATGCCCACATTGTAGCACTTGCGCAAACGGCAGGCCTTGCACGTGGTCCGGTTCTTCTTATCAATAATGCATTTGCCATCGTTCTTGCACTCGCTAATGGTGCTTATGTTGTTGTACGAGCGTCCAAAGAAGGACTGTAGTTGAGAGAAAGAGAGAGATGGCAGAGCATTGGATTAGCTAAACGGGCCACAAGTAGCCAAACAGCGCCAAATGGTTTGCTGTGTGTTTGCATGGATGCGCAACTTACCTTGCAGCCCTCGCATGTGAAGGCGCCGAAATGAAAGCCCGCCGCTGGCTCACCGCACACTTTGCACGTCTGATTCATCTGTTGAGTTAAGAAGAGAAATATAACTTTAGCATAAGCTTAATCCATTGATAGCAAAAATAGCTCAGCCTATTTCAAAAGAGCTGCCCACTGAGAAAAGTGCAAGAACTGGGCATTGCCAAAAACTAATTTTGTGAATAGATTTTTCCTGATATAAAATAAATTGATTTCACTTTTTTATTTTTTATATATTCCTTTAGTTATTTAATTTTTTCACTAGCAATTTTTGCACTTTTCTGAGCGGGTTCAGTTCAGTTGATAATCCATTTTGTGCGTGCTTTTTAGCTGTCTAGAAACTAACCAAGTTGAACACCATTTTGGCAGCTAGCCAAGTTTATCAATTAAAATAGTTAGTTGTGTTTGTTTTTTAAATTTTGCTCTTTGCGGATAATTTATCGAATTTCCGTCACTTTTCGTATCGTTTTCCGCGTTCTGTTCGTTTGCTGCGCTGCTGTGTGACTGATGCTCGAGCTACTCCTGGCATAAGCATTTATAGGAAATAGTTGGCGAAAATTGGCAAAACATTGAGACACGGTTTCTTTTTTTATGATCATCTGCGTGGGCAGGCAAAAAACTTAAGCTGCCGGGAATTATGCAACCCTATGCGTTGTTTCAATTTGTGCAGGTAGAAAACGGTGTCTGCGTGTGCGCGTGTGTGTGTGCGTGTTTTTTTACATGAAGTCATTACGCCTAAAAAATTATATAGAGTCCTAGACCTTGACGTTGTGTCATAAAAATATGTTGGCAATTTTTTTGCGCCCAAATAAAAAAAATGTATAAAGATGTTCGCCTGCACTGAACTCGGAGTGTGTGTGTGTGTATATGGGTGTATGGGTGTCTGTGTCAATTTTTTCGCATGAAACAGTAAAAAATCAAAGTAGTGCAAACAGGGCTCATAAAAATATGCCGTTGCTTGCGACCCGGCCGAAAAGTAAAAAAAAAACAAATGTAGACAAAAACAAAACGTGAATTGACTTTGGGCGTGGGCGTGTTTTTTTATATTTTTCCTCACAGATCTTGCAAACTTACCTTGGGTTCTTCTGTTTGGGTTTTTGCGTATGGAAGTCGTGTATTTTATAGCTGATGACTTTTTAATTGCACGTGGCAGTTTCTTTAGATTTTAATTTGTATTTTCACAACACTTTTTCAGCACTATGCGATCTGTGTGGATCAGTCTCTGTCTGTTTAAATTGTATTAATTTTTTTTTGTTTGGGTTTGTTTAGCAGTCGCTGCGTAGAATTGAACGTTGGGAACTGTTTGAAGTGATTCTCTGTTTCGGCTTAAGATACACGCAACGCGCTCTGTACTCACGATGTGTGTAACTCACACCTGGGCTACTAGCTGACGACTGATTTCTTGCTCAAACTCGTCGCTGGCAAGAAGCATTTCTGTGTGTCGCTCGGTTGGCCAACTCCCAGTCTCTATATACATGCAACAACAGCGGCTAGCAGTACTCCAATCACACATACACACACAAACACCACCACTAGCAGCAGTAACATGTTTTTGTAGCTCTCTGATAAATCACAGTCTCAGCATCTGACTCGATCGCGTACTCATATATTTACTACCACCACCAACAGTAACAACAACACCAACAGTCACAGAGCGCAAGTCGATTGCACTCAATGGTGCAGCGCTCTCACGACTTCAGTTTACCTGAGTCACAGTGACTGTCTGAGTCGCTGTTAATGCGCTGTTAGCCGCACTGTTAGTATTCAATGAATGAGCTACTCTCGCTCTCGCTCCTACTCTCTCTCTCTCTCTCACTGGCGCGCGCTCGCTCAATTTTGGGGCCCGCTCAATTTGCATTGCTCTGATATTATTCGTTATTCGGTTATTTATTAAAAGTCGCACGTTAAGGGCAACTAAGCTTTCTCGCACTCACACACGCACACTCACACACACACACACACATGCACAGCCATTGACTTCATTTTTAACAGTTGCTCATTTTATTTAGCATGGGCGGAGCCTTCAACTGTTGAAGTTGCTAACTTATACTATGAGAGGTTAGGTTTATATAAGCAGAGAAACCGTTTAAAATGTTCGATTTGGATTAATTGAATTGTTTGAGCAGCTTTGCTTTGGTATTTGATCAAAAAAATATGTATATATATTTTTACAACATTCGCTTGGCTTAAATTAAAGCTCATATTTGTTGAAATTTACTATAATGAGTCCTTTCGGATATAACACACTTCACTTAATTAATTAAATTCCAAATTGACCTTATGGTCAAAATATATTATTTTTAAATCTCTTAAACGTTTCAAGAGTCGATAATTTTCTAACCAGTTTACAACTCTTTCATAAAAAAAAATTCATCTGAAAGTAAAATTCTGTTTTACGTATAACCCATAATTTTCATTAGCCACCGAAACTTCTTAAATGAACTCTTCTTTATTATCAATTGACTTTAGTTCTCTAAGTTTATTGCCGCTAGAGAAACAATCCTTTCCAAAATCAACAGCCCTTTTCTCTTTACAAAGGATAAGTTAACTCTTTTTATGCACCTTCATTATATTTGCTTCGAGCTACTGAACTACCTGGCTAGGACGCACACATTAACCCTTTTATGTTATCCCTTTGTCTCGAGCATTAAAGAACACAATGTAGAAAGTGTGAAACCTAGTAAAATGCGGTTTGTGGGGAGGAGATCTTTGGCAGAGGCACAAGCTTTCGCACACGTATGTCACTCATGGAAACAGACGCTGCCGAGCTTAAAGCTCAGCGTTGATAAACAGAGCGCAGATAACTTCCAAGCAAAAGCTCACTAATACATGTACCTTAACTAATACACAAAGATGGATATTTTACCACTAAAGTCTGCATGTTCTTAGAACAGTTTTTCAGTAGTTCCCTCACTACGATGTTCTTTGACTACGATTACCACAGCAGCAACCTAACCTCAACATACGCTTCTGCCTTTAGCCATAAAAAAGAAAACTGAATATTGCGTCAACCCAACAGAATGACATATTCCGCGTAAATCCACGGTAAAAATGAAACAAAGGCTTGCAAAAAAGTCAGAGAATATAGAACCTAGGCCCGGGACGTTGCTTAGGTGCCCTGAGCGACCTTCCAGAATCGTTTTTTTCTAATCGATTCAATTTAACTGACTTTGCCCGTTCGCGTTTTTCGTTTTTTTCCCCTGCTCACACACAGCTATAATAAAACAAATAAAAAGAGAAGGCGGACGAAAATGTTTCGTAAAAATTTTGCGAATTTCCGTAGTTTGCTGGGCACAAAGCAAATGGGTAATTTTCCAGCGTAATTAGTTAGCCCGAAAGGAAAGCACGACAAAAAACTGAAAAATAAGGACAAACGGTGCGACATTGTGACTTTTAATCCGGTTTAATCCCCCGGCTTAAGTTTTTTGCATGCGCTGCACAACATACAACAAAAAAATAAATAGCGGTTCGGTTTTTGAGTTCTCGAACTCGCGAAAAAGAACAAGGATGACGACGAGTTGAACGCGCGGCGCGTCGACGGGCTGGCTCATCATAATTATGATCCTAGGATAATCTGCAGCTTAGGTATGCTGATCCAGCGATTAGGTAACAGAATCGCGTGCTTAGGTAGCCGCAAGAATTGGCCTAAAAAAGCCAGCCAGCGACGAGTCATAAAGTCAGCGGAACCATAAAAAGTCGAGCAGGCCGAGTAACCCGAGCCGCAGATCACACTTTCCGCTTAAGTGGAAAAGGGATGACTGACTCCTTGCCCAAGCGAGCCGAGGCATATGGCTTGTAATATTGTTTTTTTTTTTTTTTTTACTAGATGCAGCAACTCGAAATTACCGTTAAGCGTACTGGTAGCATCCATAAAAAAGTCAATTGCCCTAGAGAGTTGCGTAAAAAATGCGTGCAGAATTCCACAGAACGAAGCCAAGGACACACATAGACTAGATCTTTCCGCCTTAAAAAAGCATGTATGCATATGTATGTGTGCTAAAAAACGGTGCATGTTAAAAAATGCGTTGACTTTTTGACTTTACGGTTAAAAAAGAGTCAACTTTTTAATTGGCCATAAAAAAATGTACAAAAATAACAAAACTGCGAGTCGGAAATGACAGGCAGCTACTAAATACGACTATTGGTTAGCATTAGGCCTCAAGTTGAGGCCGGATTGCTTGTTACCTGCCCCGTTTCGAGCAATACAAAAGTCAAAAAGTCAACTCGTTCGCATTTACATAGTTTGATTGCATCATTTGGCCAAATGGCCATATAACAACAGCACATATCAATCAACAGACACTTTGTATCTGTATCTACTACAGCTGTAGTTGTATCTGTATCTGTAGCTGTATCTGTATCTGTATCTGTCTCTGTTCGTGTAGCTGTGGCTGTAGCTCGTGTTGAGCTCGTGTGGCTCTCGAAACAATTTGCATATTTTTGATTTAACAGCTCGCTAGCTAGATGATTGCTTAGTTACTTTACTTTGGCAATACCCTAGTCGACAGACTATCTACATTTTTCACAGCATTTGTAGCAGTTAAAAATATTTCCAAGTTAAGATAATATATATATATGTCATAAAATACCATATTCTATATATATATTTTATGTACCTAAAAATTATATTCGATTTCCATTTGTTTGTTCTCCCCCTTTAATAACCTGCCAAAATTGTGAACCATACCAAATTACTATATATATGTTAGGGTATTACGACTTCGGCATCGCAAAAGAAAACAGTATCTGCGATTTCTTGTTTTATTTTTGGTTTGCTGTTTGGCGTTTTGTTTGTCTTGTGTTTTGTCATCTTTGTTATTGTTATTATGTGTGAATAATTTGCATTTGGGATGCGCTAACAATTATCTGATATACCATTTTGGTCCACAAAGATAAGGCCTGACGCTTTATAGACAATTTTTTAATATTTCATTTTTATACAAAACATATTGTGACTGATTATTTGTTAGCCAGCGGCAGCAGCCTCAACTTGGCCATTAATGAATAAATGTCTGAAATGCTTTGATTTGGCCTGTAATACGTCGCTTGAGCCCATGTATCATCGGGCCAGTTTTTGTTAGCCAACCGAACAATGGTAATTTATTCATTAATTGCAATGACTTTTCAAGTTTTTATTAACTTAAACAGCTGAAGTCGTTAATACTTACCATAGTTTATGAATTTGTTGTAGTTATGTAAGGGCAGCCAAACGTCTTGGAACTAATCAAGTCGAGAATATTGAAATATTTCCAGAGGTGCTTTAATAATGTGTTACTGCCCCGTAACCATTAAATTAACCAACTGGTACTATAAACTTGTGCATATCATTAATATTAGAAACTATCAGAACTAGATTTGATATCTATAGGTTATCTGTATATCACAATATATACCGAACTTATTTATCCTCTTCGATTCTTTTATCTTATTCAATCTATCTAACACTTTATAATGCTCATCGTTTGTATCATTATGGCCAAAACTTTTGTGCCAAAATTTGTTCAGAAATTCGCAAAATCAATCGGCGAAATCGAAGAAAAGTCAATGAAACGTGTTTGGCCAATTTCTCAAAATATCAGAATTTGATATGTTGTTGGTTCGGTTTCCAGCTGATAAGTGTCTTATGTTTAATTGTGTTGGGTAATGTGTTCATTACGTTTAGTGTTTATATAGAATAAACTGGTTTCATGGCTTTGCCTTCGTATTGATATATGGCTTTCGCTTATTAGTGTGCACTATAGAAAATCTATGGGTAGTTTGAAAGAACATTCTCTATCGCCAGGCACGTAGCATCTTAACATTAAACCATCGTACGGTCATACAGTTGGTATTGTATTAGAATTATGAAATTATGCAAATGAAAATTATGATTATTTGATCGCAGATAACACCCTACAATGGCGCTGATTTCAATCTTGGGGTTGATCGCAGCACGTAATACTTTTGGCAAACATCGATTGGGAGACATTTATAATCGGGCATGACAGCATAAATAATAATTACGATACAATTATGACATTTGGTTTGTCAGAAAATATGTTTTCGTTCAAGGAATTTGCATAAATTTGGCCTTTAGCCCTTTGCTTGTTCAAGTAAATCCGAATGCTAGTTGGAGTTTCCGCTGATTTAGAACCAGACCGCCAAGAGCAGATCGCAAACTTCCCACGGATCAGATCATGTTGAAACTAACGATATGTTAATATACGCACCACGTACGATCAGTACCCACATGTTCAAGATTATCAAGAGTTAACTGCATTTTGGACTGGGCAAAACCCCCTAACGGAAGTCGAAGCTGCTGCGGTTTCTGATCTGTCGCATGGCAAATTTTCCAAATGCTCTCGCGGTTTTTCACACACTTTCTCTTCTGCTCCCTGACTGCGAGCACTGATCTCAATTAAATCCGCTCGAAGCGACTCTATCTTTGGGACTTGTTTGATCAGATCCTGGCTTTGGAATTTCGAAAAAAAAAAACGTTGCACAAGTTGTGCTCGTCACTGTCTGGGCAAAACATGAGCTGCTGATCCCCGTCTAATGCTCGATAATCTATCTAAGCCACACGCAAGTTAAGCTTACGGGAAATAACGTAGTCAATGAACAGATCGCCTGGAAAGTCCCTCAATGAACAAACACACACATCTTGCGCTCTATGCGAGAACATGCAAATATCGTATGCCAGATCGTAACAGAGCATTGCCAATAATAATATTTGCAGTCCTTAGAACTGAAACTCGTGAAGATCAAGTCTAGTCGTCATAGCGATGACTGCGACATCTCTACTCATAAATTACGCTCAATGATCGTAAATAGTCTCATTTTATATAAATAACTTTAAATAGGATGAAAGATCACGACTTAGATACTGTTGTGAATTATATGTCTACGATATAAATAAGTGCCTATCGATCGTTTATAATACCAAGTATGTAAAATAATAGCCGATAAATTTGCTAAATAATTGTTTATAATTTATCACGAAATGGGCATGCCGTTGATATCCGGGTTAAAATCAATCATACAAA